ACATAATATGACCTCAGCACTATCATAGAATCTGATCCCAGGGAGTAGAGGGCATTCTACTATACCCTAGCATCTATTGTAGCTCTACATGTCTTAGATAATATTCCTTTACTAACTAATTAACACATTAAACGCTGACTAACCATTTCTATGCTACAACCATCTGTGCTCTTTTATTGTACTTAACATGTTCTTAATCCGTTTTGTATTTTAATAAAATTTCCAATTCATCGATGTTGGAATGTTCCCACTAGTAGATGATGGTGAGTCGTGTGTTACCCTAGCAACAGTTGCCATACCAACCACCCTCTCTTCCTCACTCTTTGGTAGTGGTGTACAATCGGGTGTAAGACCTTAGCTGCACCAGCTAGGGGGACTTAGTACTGCATGATAAAGTATCTCCCTAACTTCATCAATAAAAAACCATCCCGCCAAACAAAATAAACCTTTATATGAAATAGAACTGCACATTGACCTTTAACCTTGTACGTCCTGTAGATAGATGGATAGATGATATACTATTTGCACTTTGCTGATTTTTTTTCTCAGAACTGCATGGCTTCAAATTTTAATTCCAGTATAATTGTAATAACACTTTATAGCTTTTTTTTACTACTATTTAGTATTAATTATATTTTTAGAGTTTTGTTGTGTATATCTATTCAATTTCCTTAGTTACTGTTTATTATATAATTAATGTGGTATAACCATTGCATGTTACATCTTATTACCATTTATTTAATTATATTTTATTACTATATTTTTTGAGCATGTTGAATGAATTAGTTTTTGAATGTCATGTTTGAGACTATGATGTGCGTAATTGTTTCTTTGGGTTTTATTCCTTACATTAGTAATGTTTGGGTCCTGTTAGTGTTTAGGTGTTTTGTATTTCATTAAGGTTTATGTACTGTCTGTTTGATAAGATACTGTGTTTTCTATTTTCACAATGTTTGTCAATGTTGTATACTATTATCATGATTTGATAATTGTGATCACTAGAGACAGATTTCACAGAAGATTTCACAGGAGCCCCAGCAAAATTTTCACATTTAAACATTGCATACTGTTATAATGTTTATGATCGCGATAAGATAATACTGTGAAAGGATTAATTATTTACTGGGTTTTAATTTTGCTTATTTCCCTGACTGGAAAATGCGTTAAATTAAAACCCACTGAATATGTAAAATTTAGCATAGAACACATTATCTAAATGATAAAACCGTGAATTTAAAACTCACTGAATATGCCTGATGTGCTAATTCAGCAAAATTTAAACCCAGTGAAAATTAATCATTTTACAGTAGACCATTTTCCGTTCACTGCAAGATCCAATGTTATACATGAAATCAAGCGTAAAAACAGGACAAACAAAGGTCCTAGTGGCAACAGACATCACGTGAGATTCAACAAACGTGAAAATATTTTGGGGGATATTTCCATGCTTAATAATGTGCTGTATACTTTGATGATGGTCAATTTCAAAATCAAATCGTTTGATTTTTGTTGCAGTCGTTCGGTGCGTGTCTTTCATGCAACTCGCAAGTTCTTGCAGTTGAACGGAAAATCACCTATTATGATCACTAGATTCACAAAAGCCTCTCCAGAATTTTTAAATTTGAACATCACGCACTATCCCTGCCCCTGTATAATCACGTCTCTTAATTTTGTTCAGATACGATATAATTTAAATATATACCCCCAAGTTTTGTCCGTTTTTGATTTGCTGAAGAGGAGTTTATACTATAAGATATGCTTACAAATAAAACAATCGGTCACTGGTAGCATAGTGGTTATTGCATCAGACTCATGATCGGTAGACCCAAGTTCAAATCCTACCATAGGCTGAACGTCAAAAAGGTCGACCCCCACCCTGGATGAGTGTGCCCCAGACTCAATGGGAAGGCCAATTCCACTGGCCGAGATTCATTCACTAACGAATGCGACTTTGGGGGAACCTTGGTTAAGGTCCGCAGGTGCATGTGTTCGACCGGGCTTGGTTGACGCCAGGATAGCGCATTACAAATTGCCATTTGACAGAGAGATGGCCACACAGCCCTGTCATGTAGTCCCAAACATGAATATGACTTCTGTGGCAAAATGCACTATATGTCGTCACTAGCACTTACAATTTGCACATACAAAAAAAAGTCAGGAGAGACAACAGTGACACTCAATGTCCGGAACTGTCGCCTGGCACAAAAAATATTTAAAAAAAAAAAAAAAAAAAATATATACCCCCAAGTTTTGTCCGTTTTTGATTTGCTGAAGAGGAGTTTAAACTATAAGATATGCTTACAAATAAAACAATATAACTGACACAATAGATCTATTAACCTAGGAATATTACAGGTACCGGTATGCATATGTACCGGTATATCAACTGATACTCTGAATAAGTAATGGAGATCATGGAACCATTTGACTCTATGTCTGTTTATTATCATTGTACAATGGAAAGTAATTCCCTTATAGTTATTGTTAAATTCAAGTGGACTTTTTATTATCATGATTTCCAAACCTGAAAATACCCTCATTTAACTCCAATTGCAAATAGTTGTTCAAAAAGAAAAACATGAATCCACAAAGTTTCTTCACGTTTTCCTGTTGGGCTGATAATTGCCAATAATCAAACCAGTTAATACTGAAGTTCATCAGACCATTCTTTGCTGCTAAGGGATGGATTAGGGGAATGGTTTTCTTACTCACAAGTGTATCTATCATCTCTACACCCAACTGATATAACTTGGGGTGGACTAATATTTAATAACGATACAACTTCTTTTTACAGTCAGATCTGTATATAGCGACCACCCAAGGGACTTCCTTAAAGTTTAATTTGTCTTTATACACAGTGGACCTTATATGGAAGTTTAATTAAGAAATTAGAAATTGTTTTATAAACAGAATACTAATTATTATTTTAGTCTCTAAAACAACACTATTAAATCTGCAAAACATATTGCTGAAAGGGTGGTCACATAAGACCGGTTTTCATACTTTATGCCTTGGGATTGCCTTAAAGTGGTCGCTAATGGAGGTTTGACTGTATTAGTGTTTCTTTTATTATAGATTCTGCAAATCATTTTCTCTCTCAGAAATGTTCGCGTTTTTATAAATATCTTTGAAATCACTGAGACTTTAGGGAAATTATACAATTTTCCATGACTCAAAAATGCCTTCTTGCAAAATTAAAACTTGTTTTTGTATTTACTATGTTTAGACCTTGATTTTACTTTTAAAGCCATTTCGTCTTTTCCAGCGTCCATTGCTATTGGATCCACAATTCAAGTTATTATTGAGAATTCAGACAATGCGTATGGTGTGTTCCAGTTTGCTGATAATTCTTTATCTACCGTGGTCGCTGAAGAAATTATCGGCTACAGTACTGCGTCTTTAGAGGTATGCAAGTCAAATTAAATATCGTCAGTTTGAAACATTTGCTAGGAGTCAGTATAGCTGTTAGTGTTTGGGCTGTGCAAGTGTTACATTTTGGAGTATTTTTAAGTTTGAAAACTTGTTAGAATTAGAGTCATTTGCTTGTTCTGCGTTCTGGCTTTCTGGGCTACTCATCCCAAATACTGTAAAATACTTTATTTTCACATGCAATTAATTTTCGCTGAAGGAATGATCTAGCGAAAATAAAATCCAGCAAATATACCTGTTTTTCCTATATTTTACATTCAACTCATCAAAAATCAGTGAAAATAAATTCCATACAAAACACCAAAAAAGTCTTTTCAGCAAAAATTAATTCCAGCTACAATAAAGTATTTCACAGTGAGTAATTTGATATTGTTATCTCAGCAATATGTGTGTTGAAAGAAAAATACAAAATATGTTACTGCAGGCAGAAAGATTGAGTGAAAACAGTGATGTGAATGTTTTGGTTACTAAGCCAAGAGATGTGTCAGGAATAAATTCATGTGTACAACTTTTCAAAATTTAGGTTATTCGTGCTGGGGGTGCTTTGGGAGAAGTGGTCCTTGATTGGTCTGCTGAAGAACATCCTCTGAGTACTGGACTCAATGCAACTGATGACTTACTCACAACGAATGGTCAAGTCACGTTCGCTGTCAATCAGTACAGTGCAAATATTGAAATACAAATACTAACAGATACTGTAAGTACATTAATTTCATTTGTTTGAACTGTTGTGTTGTATGTGATTACAATTCTGGATTGATATATGATATTAAGTCTTTAAAAAAATGTCAAATGTTTTAATTTGTGTGGAAACAATTTTCATTTTTCAATTTTCAATTATCTACCCGGTAGTATTTTGTCCAAAATGACTTTTGGAAAATTTTATTCCAAATGATTCAATGATTTCCAGGCTGTTCAAATATTTGAATCATATATTAATTTTATAATAATCATCTGTGTTTCATTTATCTTCAACAGATTCCTGAATTAGACGAAGTATTCATAGTAATATTGAAGAACCCATCTAATGGAAAACTTGGTGAAGCATCAAATCTTGTTGCTACAGTAACAGTAGCTGCCAATGATGATCCATTTGGTTCATTTGTGTTCTCTTCTACGTCAAGACCTGTGGTTTCTCAAGAAGGGAATGTTCAGGTCACATTACAGGTATGAATAACACCATATAAACAATGTTCATGACAGTCTTCTTAGCTCCGCTGTCTGATTGCTTTGATATTATACATATAAGTACTACAAGGAGACCTCTCCCAGATTTGTTCGTTTCATGATGATATTTTGGTAAATAGTGATATTTTCGACTTCTTGTTAGAAACCGCAAGTCTGATTGCTTATATATTATACATATAGGAGCCTCAGATAAACCTCTCTCACATTTGTTCATTTTATAATGATATCTTCTGTTCTTTAATTGAAATGTGCATGGCTAACAGCGGAGCTATCTCAGCCGAGAGGCTGCTTGTTGAAAAATGTTACCAGACTCAGATATTTCAAATCCTATCTCCCCCTCTCATTACAGTTCTCATGTAATTCTATGCTAGTTAGTAGGTCCCATTCCTCTAAGCACAGTTATCACGACTATAGAAGTAGAAATATTCACTGTGCTTGATTTTATCAGATTTCATATGGCAGAGGTATTTACTAAATCTAAAATTGACTGGTTTGTGAAGAAAAGATACATTTTATTGTTAAATGTACATATTCACTGGGTTTTAAATTGACTATAGTTATAGTTTTTATTACCCAATGTTAATATTCCTTTTGTGCATTTATTTATCTTTTGTCTCAGATAATTCGTGAGTTTGGTATCATGGGTGCTGTGCGAGTAGATTATGCGACATTGAATTATGTTGAAACTTTACCAAATATGCCACCATTCATCAGGTAGGTTTCAATACTTCATTGGTCGAGTTCTCACATGTGCACTTCTGGTTGGCTCAGATTCATTCTACTAATTTGCATACTTTGAATGGATTATTTTTTTCCTCAAGCTTACAGCAGCATACTGTAATATATGGAACCAAACTGACATTTGTTAATATTATTCCATTTTATTGATTCTACAGAAGAGCCAAAGAGTTTGAGGATTTTATTCCTATACAGGGATCGGTTATATTCATGGATGGTCAGACAGAAGTTAATATAACTATTGATCTTTTGGATGATAATATACCCGAAGAACAAGAGTCTGTCTTTGTTTATATTACTGATGTCAATTTGATTAGCAATCCACAGTCCAGTCCAGGTACCAACTATATTTTAATAAGATCTCCTTGTATTTTATTCAAGCATGTATTAAAATCTTTTTAAAACTTTGGGTAAAGTCCAGTTGTGAATGCTAAAACAGACATATATTTAACAATTGATGAATTGCATGCTGACATTTATCTGGTTATACACAATAAACACTTCAACAGTATGACACATGCTAACAATTTTATGGTCACATGCTAAAACCTGAATAGTCGCATGCTAACACTTGAATAGTCATGTGCTAACACTAAAGAACTCACTGACTAACTTTTAAACAGTCACATGCTAACACTTGAAAAATTACATGCTAACACAAGCAGTCACATGATAACACTTGAACAGTTGTATGTTAACACAAGCAGTCACATACTAACACTTGAACAATTACATGCTAACACAAGCAGTCACATGCTAACACTTGAACAGTTGTATGCTCACACACAATCTTGCATAAACACTTCAATGACAAGATCAGCCACATTGTAATACTAAATACTATTTTCGTAATTCTTTATATTTCTACAGTTGAAAGATCACCAAGAATTGGATCTGATAGTATAGGACAAATCCAAATTGTTGCCAATGACAATGCTAATGGTGTGTTACAGCTATCTGAATCTACTGTAGTCGTAACAGAAGATCACATCGGACCATTCATCAATGTTACTAGAACCGCTGGCTCATTTGGAATGGTGAGCCCAAAACACATTTCAATTTCATAAGCAAACAGATGTTCTTGGTGTTTTGGACTGATTTTGAGATACTTATCAAGCATAATTGATAATTTGCATAATCATATATGTATATAACTTTTATATTACTCACCTAGGAGATCAATGCTGTTGTGGCAATTCAGAAGTGAACAAACATGCACTTTCTGCCCACTACATGTACTTACATATACAAAACTATCTGTCCTGTGTGTTCTTGCCTTCAGTGCAGAAAACAAAGCATGATATCCCTGTTGTAATATGACGTGAATTACTCTGGGATAGCTGAGCGTGAACCTCTGACTAGCATATGTATTTCCCTATATTCCTTGCAATGCAATCACATTGCTAAATAAATGAGAACGAAATTTTAGTTAGTTCCTAGGAGCCATAACATGATTTCAGAACCAATCTGTATACTTCTAGTTGAACACCATTCAACCAATCAAAATGCTTGTTTCACCAGGTAACTGTTCGTTTCCAAGCAATCGCTATGACAGCACAAGCCAGTATTGATTACAGCGTGTCTTCATCTGATGTCATCCTATTGAATGGTGAGACGTATAAAGCCATTCCAGTTGAGATCGTGAACGATGGCATCCCAGAAGTGGAAGAAACATTTGAAATTAGATTATTGGATCAAATCTTTGGTGGAGCGTCTTTAGGATCACCAACATCTGCTGTCATAACAATATTGCCTTCTGATGATCCAAATGGACGCTTTGGTAAGTTAGAAATCCTGCAATGAGTTGAATCTTTTTTTTATGTAAATCACACTTAATGGTGATGCATCCAAAATGCCATTATTTTTTGTGATCTCAATATCGCCTTCTGATGCAAGGTCTGTGAATGACAAAAGACTAAGTGAGTCATACCTCTAAAAATAAGGTTGGATGATGGCAGGATGAGGATGATCAAGGAGGAAGGATGGAGAAGCGTACATCTATTGCACTTTATAAATAATATGCAGCAAGAGAATCAACATCTGATTGCTATTTGTTTTCAACAGATTTTGCATTTTCCAATACTCTGGTAGAAGAACCTAATGAAGGACAAACCAGAGCAATCAATATTACAGTTGTGAGGGGAGGCGGTTCATCCGGTGTGGTTGCCGTTGAATGGCAAGCAACCTACAATGGTAAGTGTCACTGGTTCATTTTTTTTTTACCAAATTGGTTATTGCATGATTTCTGTGTAGATTGAAGAGTGTCAGGTACTAAGTAGATAACTTTGAAGTATACACAGGTAATATATAGTTTTTCTGTCAGAATAAAATAAATCAACGGAAAATTAACCAAAGCCATCAATACATAAATACTTCCAGTAGACAGTGTGATAACCAAAATATTGTTAAATGCACTTTTTTCCTATAATGTTGATGTACAGAAAAATGCATGATTTATCTTTTATTCAATTTTATTTATTGATAGTTTTTACATTGAGCATGTGATATATATATATTTGGTAGTATATTTACATTTCAAACCTTTCTCTGGGCAACAGGGAGGTTAGCAACAACTGACGTTTTACCGACTGGTGGTGTGTTGTACTTCTTATCTACTATGACGCATGAAACATTCAGATTAGAGATCCTACCAGATGATGTACCAGAAGAACGAGAGGTCAGTCCCACACAATCTCACAGTTCATTTTACATAGGAATGCAGTGACAAGGTTCTTTTTTTAAATGTTAAAATATCAGATTACATAATTCTGACATTTTAATTGTCTAAAGTATCTGTTCTTAAAGATGCAATATGGATGTAATTTTTAGTGTTGATATTGTATATTGATAGATACATTAGAATATGTTTTATCGTGACATATAAATGCTGTTTATGTAGCTCACATCTGAATATTTGTTCAATAAAACAATGTGCATTGGTTGTTTTGGTATGTACATATTAGTGGTTTTGATTTTTTTTGAATTTGTGTGTCTTGCAAACACAACTATTTGAATATACGTTAAATCATTATTTGGTCTACAGTATGGAGTCTTGAACAACAGTATTAAAAATATATTTTTTTTTTTGTTCTTATTGCTTCTTTAATAAAATCATATGTGCCTTGCACTGATACAGAGGTATGACACAGTACATGTAGGTTATAATTTGTAAAATGTCGAAATATTGAGAAATAAAAAGATTACCCATAGCAACTTAAAAGAACACTTGTGCAATTGTTACTTTGTGCACAACTTGTGTCTAAATATTTCAACATTATTCTGTTTTCAATTTCATTGATCTATATCCATCCATCCATCCATTTGATATCTCTTGCAGGAAATCCAGTTAAAACTCTTGAGTGCAAGTAATGGTGGTATGGTGGGTCCCCAGTCTGAAGCCACGATTGTCATAGAAGCCAACGATGACCCACATGGTGTGATACAGTTTGCTAACTCACAGTATGTGGTATTGGAAGAAGAAGGCAACACAGTGGCTAATATACGAGTTAATAGAAGGTATGGAATCACTTCAAAGCATGACACAAGTGAATACTTTAAACGCTTTCAGTTTATTCACACCTAAACATAACAGAATTACCAAACATCAACAGATTTTCTGAAATAACACTGTAATTCATTTACTACCTTAATAAGATTGTGGTAATATTTATACAAACATTCACGTTCGAACATTTTCAAAAAAGAACAAAACTTCATTGAACTTGTGATTATTACGTTGTTATTATAGCCGTGGAACGTTCGGAGACTTGGAAGTCTTCTACAGTACCAAGGAAACCAGTCTTATGATGTCAGCCACTGCGGGCAGTGACACAGTCTTAGATTACTACCATTCCCCGCTAGAGGGCAGTATAATGGGACAGCCTAAGAACTACATTGATGTCAGTCAAATGTCCTTCCCACTTGGTGAATGCGCTGGTCGGTGTTTGCAAGAGAAAGCATGTGCATCTTTTGAATTTAAAGATGATGTTAATACTGACGTGGAGTGTTGGTGGTCTCTGTCTGCTGATAGCACTTCATTTGATGCTTCCACAGGATTCTCATACTATGTCAAAGATATGAATAAGGTAGTAAATTACTTTGAAAAATTATAGCTACAGAAATCATCCCATAGAACAGCGCCCTCACGTGGTAATATAGCGCCCTCATACTGCCATTTTGATTTTTTTTCTTCTATGAATTATATGAATAACATGCTGTAAAACCATTGATTTTCACTGGCACTTAATTTCACTAATTTGATGTTTTAGCTTTTTCACTGGGTTTTAGTTTCAAAGGTTTGGAATGAGTTCTATTGTTATTTTACCGGTTCAGATAAATATAATTTACTTTGATATATATTACATATGTGCGCATCATCTTTGATAAACAATGGAACAGTGTCCTAACATGGTATTATAGTGCCTCCATACAGTCAGCTTATGCATAAATTATTGCTGTCTGGGGTAAAAAAAGGAACACCACCTACACCTGAAATTATAGCACCTTCATACTGCCATTTTAAATTTTTTTGTCAAATATTCAATAATTTATTATTTTGTTTGGTAATATGAGTACTGGTTTTATTAATTACATAGCCTATAAATTTATCATTTTTTTTACCATCCTGGTTGTTATATTCATCTCACGTAGGTACAGCCATTGTATGATGGCCAGGCTGCAGCTGGTGTGGACTTTGCACCAGTTAACAGTGGATCAATCCAGATATCAGATGGGGCTAGCTTTGGATATGTAACTGTTGTTGTTCTCAATGACTCTATCCCAGAATTGGATGAATCTTTCCAGGTATGACATAAATTTATACTGTATTTATTTTTTCTAACAAGTCAAGCAATTCTAACTACTGTAAAGGGGTTAATTATTCACTGGGTTTTAATTTTGCTTATTTCGCTGACTGGAAAATGTGCTTAATTAAAACCTAGTGAATATGTAAAATTTAGCATAGAACACGTTATCTAAATGATAAAACTGTGAATTTAAAACCCACTGTATATGCCTGAAATGGTAAATCAGCGGAATTTAAATCCAGTGAAAATTAGTCATTTTACAGTACCTCATATGCAGTATCTTTTTTTGTAGGACTTTTTTTGCTTCTGACTAGCTGTAATGCATACCATGCATAAATCAAAATTCTCAGAATCATATTCCAATGAGATCAACCAATCAGGGAAGGCCTTTCTGTAATGAACTGATCATTCAGCATATGTAATTTCAAACATGATTAGTTATTGGTCAAACAGGATTTGAACTTTGAGGTCCCAGCAATCCTTTTTTGGATGTACTGGTCACTTCATTCCTGATTGAGTTGTTTCATACTCTTAACAGGTGAAACTGGAGAGTGTCCGACTCTTAGACCTGGTACCATTACCACAGAATCAGCCACAACTTGGACAGCAGACTGAAGCAGAGGTGATTATCGGTAGTAACGATGATGCTAACGGCGTCTGGACAATTTACAGTAATAGCCCTGATGCTACCGAAAATGGTCAGAGTATAGCTGTTGAAGAAAGGGATGGCCTGTCAGTAAGTGTGGAACTTGTTATAGAAAGAACTGGTGAGTTGATTTGAAGTTAATATCATGTTACATGCCTGCAGTTGTATATTTAGATGGACACAATAAATCAAATCTATTGTCTTCATACCTAAGCTCAGATGTTGGGCAATGTATGTTCTGTATTTTGGGAAACTGATCCACATTGTAAACTCTTGTTTGTAATTGTAATTAATAATTTGAGGATCTACTTGAGGACTGTAATCCATGAAATTCGCCATGTCCAAGACTTAATAATGACAATGAGGCAGTTTATTGACCAAAATCGAATAATCTTTGATGGTGCGGTGACAGAAGCAAACAAAAGATGCGTTACTTTGTACTGGTAATAAAAAATGAAAATGTGTCAAATTTAATCATGTTCAGGAGGTGCCATTGGAGATGTATCCATATCATGGCGTGTTGCCGGTGGTACTGCTTCTAACAGGCTTGACTACACAGCTGATGGAGCCACTCTTACATTCCCACCTAGGGAACGCAGACAAGGTAAAGAATAGAAACAGAATACTGTGAAATATTTTATTTTCGCTGGAATTAATTTTTGCTGAAAAGGCTTTTTTGGGCGTTTTGCTTGGAATTTATTTTCACTGATTTTTTGATGAGTTGAATGTGAAATATAGGAAAAAAAGTATATTCGCTGGATTTTATTTTTGCTGAAGGGATGATTTCGTGAAAATAAAATAAATTCCAAGCGAAAATAAAGTATTCTACAGTAATCTACTTACATATATAAACTATATTTGATGCAATTTCTTTCATTCTCAAAATCATCATCACCAACCCGGACACTGTCTAAATACTAAATTAAAGTTAAATGAAGCCTGTACATATTTTAAGATTTAATAGACCATTTTTCCGTTCACTGCGAGAATCACGTGTGACAAACAAAGGTCATAGCGTCGTAGTCGCATCAAACATCGTGTGGGATTCGACAAATGCGAAAGTATTTTGGGGGACATTTCCATGCTTAATAATGTGCTGTACACATTTGATGATAGGCAATTTCGATTAAGTAAGGGTATTCGGAAACAATATTCCTCTGTTGAAGATCGGCCGGCCGATGTGAGCTACGAAATAACAAAAATCGATTTTTGCAGCAGACTTTCAACGCGCGTCTTTCATGCATGTCGCGAGATCTCGCAATTGTACGGAATATCACCTATTCAAGCATGAACATTAACAACAATGCATTCTGTCATAATTTCTCTGCTCATGTTGAAAGATTTGTCTTACCTTACACTGATGATTTATGGAATATTTTATTTACAGAAATCACTTTGAGTATTCGTGATGATGTAATTCCTGAGGTAAATGAAACCCTGATAGTTGAGTTATTCAATCCTGGTGGTGGCAGTATACTTGGTAGAAGAGACTACGTGACTGTGACGATACTGGCCAATGACTACGTTGCTGGTGTTCTCAAGTTTACTGTCCTATCATACATTGTCAAGGAAGGTAGGAAATGTTTAATATTTCCATTTTACTTCAATCTTTTCGACACCAAATTTATGATTGTGAATCTAAAAGATTTACCAATCCAACTCTACATCAGAAACTATTCGCCTCAATCTAATTAAAATCTGATGTAGTTAAATTTTATATTTGTTTTTGTTATTTTTGTTTATTTATGAATATCAGGGTTTGCGCTAGTGTCTTGGCAAGACGAGTCCCACTTACAAAATTTTATACTGGATAACCTTATTAGAGATTGGACCCCAGCTTGCCTGAAAAACCAGGTCCCTCTTCAATAATTGGAGTCAGGGAAGCAAAATATGGGGTTAATGCAATCCCTGAATATTGTTAAGTTTTTTATTTATCGTTAATAAGTCGCCTTAAAGCGGGGAGTCGTCACCTACGCAGGCATCAGGTGGCCATAACATGTCATTGTTTACAAACAAGTGTCTACCCATGAGCCTTTGCGTTTTAGCGTGTGTAGTTATCATCTCTTGGGACTCAATTTTCGTGCATGCACTGGTGACGGCCCTCCCGCTTTAAATATCGTGATACTATATAAAAAAAACCCATAATAACAGCAAGTAAAACCAAAAACAATAAAAGAATATAAAATGGAACCTATAGGTACATTATATTTTAATCAGATTTCTATTTAGCTGTGGTACTTTCTGTGCATTTTTGGGAGGATCCCTTAATAAATGCCATATTTTTTTTTTTTTTCAAGGTGACAGATTTGAAGTGACGGTGGAAAGATCACCACCAGCAGTCGGTACAGTTGAAGTTAGTTGGAAAATAGAAGGTGTAAACAATCATCTGCCACAACTTAATTTTCAAGACATCAATGGAACTCTTGTGTTTGCTGAGGTTAGGACATACCATTGCCCAATAAACATTATTGTCTATGGAAACATAAATTGCTAGTATTGTATCAATGTATGAATGAATCTAGTTCTTTCTTTTTAACATGGCATGATAGCTACATTAATAATATGCAAACAACTCAGACATGGGCACTTTATGACAAATCCTGTTAAATTTGAATCAGTATCTTTACTGGTAATTCAGTGGTCGTTGTACTGAACATGTGATTAACCAGAGCTTAGACAGATTTTATTTGGTTGGCCAAGGTCCAATGGCAGATCTAATACACTGAGACAATGATGCAACTTGGAGAGAACCTTGGTTAAAGTGGTTGCTGCTGGGATAGCATACCATTATGATAGGAAGATTTTCCTATTTTTGTGGCAGTTAATTCATAAAAAAGACAAATTACACTATATAGCTGATGCTGCTGTTGTTGGACACATTGCATCTCTACATTCTGGACTCCAGAAAATGTTTGATTATTTTCGATATCATGAATTGTACACATACACATAATAACAATTTCTCAAAAATAAATGTTTTGAACTCACATTGCGGTACATATTTTTTCTTGTGGGCAGGGTCAGTCTATCCAAGTTATATCTATCTATACATTGGTAGACGACACACCAGAAACCAACGAGGAATACGTTATAAAACTACATGACCCCATCACTGAAGGTAAGAAAACCACAATTTTGTTCTAAAAACCGTGTTTATTTTAAGAACAAGTTCTTAAGATATTGAACAATCTATGGAATGGTGTATGAAACCACATGTGTGTTGCATGTGTTGACAAACTCTGACACTGATATCCTTACACCAGGTGTACCACAGACTGGAGCGGCTGGTCTGGACACCCAGGGTTCAACAGCTAGCATAACAATTGAAGCCAGCGATGAACCATACGGTATATTTGTATTCACGCCGGGATCCGTTGAGCTGAAAACTGATGAAGCTGACAAAGTAGAAGAATTGATTGTTGAAAGAAAGTTTGGTTCCATTGGTAAGAAAATGTTTTCATATTATTCTCTCTCGTTAATTGTGATGGTTGATTTTTATTTAAAATTTTTTTTTTTTTAAATGCGCATATTTTAAGAATGAGATGCACTCAGTGTGACGACTGCAAAGCCTGAATATAATGGCTCTCCACAGAAGTGGTGAATGACCTAAAGTACTTTGTTGCTAGATGTGTAAATTGTATGGGAAAATTGATCAGATTATTTTGAAGGTAGTGAAATAATAAAAATCTCTATTGTAGCGTTAATGGTTTAGGTTTCATTACTTTCTAGGATACGTTCGAATATTTTATGAGATTCGGGCTGGCAGTATTAATCCATTGACGCCGTATGATAACATTGCCTCGTCTAACACTGACTTCATACCGCATACCGGTTACATTGACTTCACTGACGGCATTGTAAATCAACCTATACAAGTACAGATATTGGAGGTGAGATCTTACAAACTGTTTTTTTTTTTGGATGCTTTAAGTTGTGAAACTTTAAAGGCCCAATTCACTTGCCCTGGGCAAGTGTGAATTGGAGGTGTGGCTATGCTAATGAGTGTTGTTAATCACTTGCGTAGCCTTTGACGCATCCTGTTTCAGTGGTCCAACATCACGTGACTTTGATTGACAGTAGTTAATTATTCAAGATTAGTAGCGGGTCCCTTTCCCCGGTTTGTGTTTTTGACTTTTATCCGCCAAAATCTCAGCTCGTACACTATTTATTGTCATAAATACTACACACAGTCACTGCTGTGATATTCATAGTCACATGCATCCACTTTGGCACGACATAATCGACCTGCAAGTTCCAGAAAACGCGTTTTGACCGGAGCTTGGCTGGAGCTGTTTACTACAGCGTGACAAGCAAGGAAATAATCCCTATTGTTTAAGAGCGTATTTATAGTATACCTGGGTCTTTAACCTGGTACCGTAATGAATCTTAAAACTGAAAAACTACAATATACTTTTTCTTAACTGAACATGTTAAAAACTGCCTGAATGTTTTTTTTAGTCTGGTTGTCCTGTTTTTATGAAAGATCTATAAACCAATTATTACCTCTGTAAACGAAACACATTTCCTAGGTGCCTCTTGTGTTCAGTTTTAATACACGAGTTGAACTGTATAAAAATGAATGTAAACCAAACATCCACGAACATTTTTCCCGCTCCCTGTTTAGTTTTGATAGGTTTTTCTGTGAAAGACTTATAAATTCTCGGTCGTATTGGTGATCATTTTATTCTGAGTTCACTTGGATATAATTTTCTCTATTTCTAGGATACAATACCAGAGCTAGATGAAGTATTTCTTGTCAATCTTACATCTGTGATGTTAATGAGTACCCCAACCACTGATACACCACCTAAACTAGGTAGGAATTCTTACTATAATATTCACAATGTTAAGTTGATAAATGATTCTGTTTCCTAATTACTGTAGAATACTTTATTTTCGCTTGGAATTTATTTTTGCTATTTTCGCTGAAGGGATGATTTTGTGAAAATAAAATCCAGCGAATATACTTTTTAGCTCCGCTGTCGACTTTGTCGAGCGGAGCTTATCATATG